TATTTATTTTTAAATAGCTTTCTCGGGTCCACTAGTTTTTATATATCTTTCCAGTACTGATTTGAGTTTCCTTTCTAACCTTTTGATTTTATAATGTGGGACGTCAACATTTTTATTACATCATTTTCTTAAGTTAAATGTGATATATCCATTTTAGATTTTTGATGCTGTTGAAACTTCTCAAGTGATGTGGTTTTTGTTATTGGGCACAGTTCTTTGTTCGTGATTATGTAGCGCCAGGATCATGGTCCTCTTTAAGACCAACAAGTTTAATGCACTCAAAGCCGTTTTAATTATCCAATTGCGTAAACTATTTATACTGTACATGAAACATATTTATAAATTTACATAAAACGCGTATTTACACGACAACTCTTAAACGTGTTTTATTGAATAAAAAAAATACAGGGAATTAAGCCTTTGATGGGTTTCTCATGGCGTTAAAGAATTTCTTTCATGTCATGTGGGAACCTGCGTAAGTTATGCACTTTTGGTCATTGTTATTCGTTTTCATGATGGCACTTGGAGGTGAATTGCCCAGGTTAATATCTGGAGCCAGAGACAAAATGGAATCCCGCCTAGTTGTTGCAGATCCTGCAACAACACCAGTGCCGACCATTATCGTCTGCTGTTCTTCATTTGGAGAGGTGCAGCAGGTGCAATATCCGAGCTTGTATAAAGATTCTGCGCAAAGTTGCCTCACCTGTGTTCACTTATTAAAACAGCTGCTGTGCTAGCGTCATCAGGTGAAAAAAAACGTCCCTAATTGCAGACTGAACGTCTCTCGAAAATTGACACTTGGTTTGACGAGTAACCAGATTGTGGATAACGGAGTAGGAATTATAATTCTATAAAGATATTAGATCACTGGAAAAAATCGTGCTCGATTAGAAAAATAAAAAATTACATACGGACAAAGAACATTTATTAGTCAAGTACATAGTTTCCATTGTTTTTTAACAGCTCTCCCGGCCGTTTTTTTTTTTTTTTTTTTTAACTCAAATCTATTCAAGTGGCGAAAGGCAGTTGAGATATCGAGTTTCAAACTCTTTTTTTTTTCCCGTCGAAATCTTCGGTCTATTCGCCACGATATCAAGCAGAGCTTCCTTCAAAGTCTGAAAGACGGCTGAAGCGTGGTTAATCGTTAAGGTTAAAATCACACTGACGACGAAAATCAGCCAAACCCCTTTTTGATCGCCCGAAGAGCTGAAGCACAATTCAAATATACTTCTTAGATGTTTTCGTCGGAGTTCGGACGATTACTCATTTACGAAACTCATAGAGAATAACATGGCGATAGTAAAAAATTTGTCATTTTCAATCTTTAAAGCCTTCATTTGTGGACAAAATGTCATTATTCCAAAAATCACAACTGAACTTTGCAATGTTTCCGTCTCGAACACACCAGAAATCGGCACAAAAAAATAACCGTATCAAGTTGCGCTCATTTTTTATTAACAACGAAATTCGGGCCAAAAACTTTGGCAATCTATATATATATATATATATATATATATATATATATATATATATATATATATATATATTTCAGTTATGAAGAACTTGTTAAACCGCATGGGTAATTCCAAGGAGGATGAAATCCTGAGAGCTCAATGTAAATCCAGAGCTAATATTTAATGAAAAAAAACCACTTTAAGGTACCATTTCAATAATTTATTTCACCAGAATCCTTTTAAAAGGACGCCGGATCATCAGATAACACTTCCAACAACGAAATGAAAAGAATAAAATTGATGGGTAGTGTAAGTTTTTGTACTTTAACAGGGGGTGAGAGGGATAGTTAAAGGGACAAGGTAGAGTATAAGGAGGGATTAATTTCATATCTCTCTTAAGTGTACTTTATATTGGAGTAGGAGTAGTGACCAAACCTTGACATATTTAGATAGTTAACTTAACGGAAATGATATACAGAAATGGGAGGGGAGTAGGGAGAAAAGAAAAAGGAAAAATGTAAAAGAGAGAGGAAACAGAAGACAGTAATACGGATATATACAAATGAGTGTTACAGAAAGGAGAGAGAGGGAGAGGGAAGTCAATCGAAAGAGGATGTCATTGGCTTTTAACAATTTATGTAAAGGATTGATTTCAATGCTTGATAGAAATTTAGATGTCTAAAAAAATTTGATGATTGTTATCAATTTAAATATTTAATTTTTTAAGCAAATAGTTTAGGGACTTAATATAAGTCAACTACTATTTTTATTAGCACGTTTATAGAGAACATATTAAAGAAGTATCTCAAATTATAATAATTTATTTACCCGACCAATCGTACTTCCTTAATATTGTAAAAATAGTTTCGGTAACATCTTTATTAGTTTTACTTTTAATCTAAATTATGAATGCAATTTTTCTTTATTATTATATGGGTAAACTTACTTACTTAAGGTTTTGGTTTCATTATGGAATAATATTTGAAGGTAATATTAAAGATTTTGTTTTTTTTTTATATATATCACAAACATATTCATGCAATTAATTATATATATATATATATATATATATTATATATATATATATATATATATATATATATATATATATATATATATATTGATATTTAAACACTTGAGTCATCACTTAACGTTAAACATTAACTGTGAAATTAAAGAAAAAATTTAAATAAATTTAAATATAAATATATGTAATTATTTGTAAATGTATGTAATTTATGTATGAATATGTATAGGTATCTGTGTATATCGATACATGTGTGTGCCTATGTGTGTAATTACGCATGTAAATGAACGTATGTATATGTAGGATTTGCATAAGTATGTATGTGATATATATATATGAAAAAAAATCCTTTAATATTACCTTCAAATATTACTCCATCTTAATTCGAAACCTAAACTTTAAGTAAGAAAGATTACCCATCTAAAAATAATTACAAATTACATCCATAAATTAGATTCAAACTGATAAAGATGTTACCGTAACTGTCTTTTACAATATTAAATATACTATTGGTCGGGTAAACAAACTGTTATAGTTTAATTTTTTTTAATATGTTCCCTATGAATGTGTTAATAAATACAGTATTTAACACTAAATTATTTGTAAAAATGTTAAATATTTAAATTGCTAGCAAGCATCAAATTAATTTCTTCGGGTTTTTTTTTAGACATCTAAATTACTATCAAGCATTAAAATCTATCTTTTACATAAATTGCTAAAACCCATTGACAGCCTCTTTCTCGTTACTTCCCTCACCCTTTTCTTTCTTTTTCCTTTTTCTTTTCTCTCTTCTCCCCTTCCATTTCAATATATCACTTCCGTTAAGATAACCGTTTAAATAGGTCAAGGTCTGATCACTCCTCCTCCCTCAATACTAAGTATGATAGAGAGAGATGTTAAATTAAACCCTCCCTAAACTCTACCATGTCTCTCTAACTACTCCTTTTACACTCTCTGTTAAATTACAAAAACATACACTACCCATCAATTTTCATTTCATTTTTCTTTTCATTTTTGGAAGTGCTATCTGATGATCCGGCGTCCTTTAAAAGGGTCTGGTGAAATAAATTATTATAATTGAACCATAAAGTGGTCTGTTTTTCTTTAACACACACACACACACACACACACACACACACACACAATATATATATATATATATATATATATATATATATATATATATATATATATATATATATATAAATCGAGGATGTCTGTGTGTGTGTGTCTATCTGTCTGTGTGATACATTTTTCACTCGAGATCCATCCAACTGAATTTGACCAAGCTTGACATATACATTGTACCATGTAAGAGACAGGTTCTTAGCGTAAAAAATCGATAATTTTTGAAAAATCAAATATCGATAAACCTGATCAAATATCGATAAATTCAACTTTTTTCCTCCGATTTCGTTCAAACTCGGTATGTGGGTTACTTACATCATGACGATCTCAGTGATACCTCATTTTTATTCCTACGCCACAGAGTTTAGCGAAAAACCGCGAAAAACGAAAAATCGATTTCAACACAAATTTTAAACTAACAACTCCCTCAGTTTTCAAGCAATCTAATAAAAACTTCCCTCGGTTGTAGCCAATAATACACTGATTTTTTAACAGTCATTTAACTTCATAAATGAGTCCACTCCTATAGTGAAAATCCGAATAAATATCGAAAAATGGCGATTTTTACTGGTTTCTTTTTTATTTATCGTTGATCTTTCAACCAATTTTCATCAAACTTAACAATTGCTTTATAAATGTATCCTATTTTAAATCCATGGTAACACACTGACAAATTGAATTTCAAAAACTCCAAAATGATTATCGTCTGAAGTGGATTATTATGTTGCCTGTTTTAACCTTCATGCCCTCGACTAACTTCGATTGAATAAATGCAGACTACTTCTGTTATATCTGTAACTGCATCAATTCAAAATGTTTTTTTTACTGAAAGTACTTTAAAATAATTGAAGAAGATAGATTCTGTTACATCTAAACATGATGCTGTTTTTGCTCCATTCTAATTGAACGCTTTTTCTGATCGACCAGCCGGGTAAGCCTGCTAGTGATCGGATAAAATGACAAAAAGAAAATGGCATTAAATTGAAAATGGTAGCCAGTAGTGGAACTTAGGTTTAGAAATAACATGAAGCACATTGCTGAGACGAGAGCGTTTTCGTATGGAAAAATAAGTTGAGGACTGCATCCAGTCAGGGGTGTTCAAGTCAAGAATAGGACTTTCGAAGACAAGGAAGGAAATAGATTTCATGCGATATAGAAAAGGGATGTTCATCAGGACGGCATGACCAATTTGAAATACAATAATTTATTTTTCACTTCTTCCGAAATAATCCAGCGGACGTGTTGAAGAGGCTGGTCGGGAATGAAACAGCGATGATCTATGGTAATCCATGGTAAAGGAACTCTTACTTATCCACATAAAACACTGTTTCGTTGTGTCGACAAAAAAGCAGCATTATATATATATATATATATATATATATATAATTCTAATGCCAATTCATCTATCTATCTATCTATCTATCTATCTATCTATCTATCTATCTATCTATCTATCCGCATCTTTCTTTCCACTTTTATCTATCATCTATCTTTATCTATCTATCTATCTATCTCCGCATCTTTCTCTCTATTTTCTATCTGTCTGTCTGTCTGTTTCTATCTATCTATCTATCTATCTATCTATCTATCTATCTATCTATTTTCATCTATTTATCTGTCTGTCTGTCTCTCTGTATCTATCTATCTATTTATCTATCTATCTTGTTCAATTTATATCTATTTACTTATCTTTCTGGCCTCACGAGGCAGTAATGCAAAGTTTTCTATCTGCATATTTTCTCACTATCTATCTATCTATCTATATCTTACTTTTCACTATTTATCTCTGTTTCTATTACTTATCTATCTGTCTGTCTATCTATCTATCCACATCTTTCTTTTCACTATCTATCTATCTATCTATCTATCTATCTATCTATCTATCTATGTTTCTTTCTTTTATCTGTCTGTCTATCTATCTATCTATCTATGTTTCTTTCTTTTATCTATCTGTCTATCCATCTATCTATGGATGTATCACTTTGTCTCGTTTCATGTATTTCTATTAACTTATCTTTCTGGCGGCTCGAGGCAGTAATGCAAACAATAGAATCTCCTTAACAATTCTTACAGTCACAGATTTCTCTCAGCCAACGTCATGTCCATTTCTGTTAGAATTCTACACACACTTCCGACCGCAATGACCGAAGCCGGGATACGGAAAATCTTCCTCAGGGATACTTCCAATTTCAAGCGATCCGTTTTGTTTTAAACTCTTGACAATCTGCCCCCACGACGGCAGGAGACAGAAACTGAGTCGCATCTTCCTTTAAGTGGCACTCGTCAAACGTAATGAACACATTGTTTCTGGCATTTGATGGCTTCTGGCCGAAGTAGGGACCACAGCACGCGCTTTGAAAGATTAAGAAGAATTGGGATATATATATATATATATATATATATATATATATATATATATATATATATATATATATACACGCTTTTTGCTTATTTAAGTCAAGACCTTGCGCAAATGTTAACTTATCTATAGATACGCCATAAAGTTGTTAAAAGCCAAAGTGCTTCACAGAGACTTACACGAATATATCGATATTGGTATACAGTTATTACCTATTCTAACCGAAAAAATTTTTTCTATGTTGATCAGTCACACATCCTGATTTTCTGTACTTGTTATCATGAGATATTCCGTTAATATAGTAATACGAGATTTTGCTTGAACCCCATATGCGAACATGCTTCATTTTGTCAACACTGACAATGGAATGGATCATTAGTAAATAAGGGAGATCGGCTTTGATACATTGCTTTTTCTATTTGTTTGATTAACACTTTCTCATATACTTGAATATTTCTTTATAATATGAAGACCTTAAAATTCTGTCACTTTCTTCGATTTATAGATTTTTAAAAACTTGTCTACTCTTTAGATTAAAGTATTACTTATAGTAGTTTGTGGCTTTTCAGTAGTGTTTTTTACACTAGAATTCACCCAATATAAGCCACGAGAGATACTCAATCTAGACGATTACTATTAAAAGTAAAATTTGTATGATATGAATGGTAACTTTGGTTTGGTTTGTTTTACGATATATCAACCTCAGTGTGTTATTTAATTTTTATTGCTGGTAATTTTTTTTTTCAAAAATGTATTGCTGTTAATACATTTTTTTTCAAAAATATTTTGCTGAAAATATTTTTTATAAAGATCTATGTTTTCTATCTTAATCATTCACACATCCTAATTTTCTCTACTTACGATCAAGAGATATTCCGTTATTATAGTAATACGAGATTTTGCTCGAACCCCATATGCGAACAAGCCTCATTTTGTCAACACTGATAATGGAATGGATCATTAGAAAATACGGGTGATATTTTTCCTTCAAAAATATACTGATAGTAATATTTTTTTTATTCAAACATGTATTACGGGTAATATTTTCTTCAAAAATGTACTGTTGGTATTATTTTTTCATAAATGTATTGCTGGTAATAATGAGTTGCTGGTAATATATTTTCCTTCAAATATCATTGCGAATAATAATTTTAACAAAAAATATTACTGGTACTAAAACTGATATTTACACTTTGCCGCAGTTTGAGGGGTCAATTATTTGCCCGTTGCTAGGACCCTAACAGGTGCTACCACTACGGGTCACGGTAGACCTGGGAACACCAGAAATTAAGATGTGGTTCCACGCTCCTCAAAAACTCCTGATCAGAGGCCTTGCTATCGGACGTAGTTTATCGTCTTACCCAGGACGCGGGTGTAGTCTATCGTCATAACGAGGACGTTTTTCTGATGTTAAAAAGGAATACGGGTTCAATTCTTGTCAGAGAGCCTCTAATCCGGACTTTTTGAGGAGCATAGAACTACCTCTTAAGGGTTATTGTTCCCAAGTCCACCCTGACCCGAGGTGGTAGCACCTGCTAGGATCCGAGCAATGGGTAAATAGTGAACTGCTGTCAAAATATTATGATAATATAAAAAAAAATGTTTGTAGCAAGAAAAATTACAATCAATAACATTATTGAAAACGGAAGAGAAAAATTACCAGCAATATATTTAAAAAAAATTAACCAGAACCCCCCCCACGAAAAAAATTAAATTTCGAGATTAAATAAGGAATTGATATATCGTTAAACAAAACAAAACAAAACAAATTCAACATTCTTCTGCTATGCAGTTAAAGACATTTTTTATTTTACAATAATGTTCATCCTATAAAAGGTTCAAGATCTACTCGTAGTAAAGGTATACAGAGTCAAAATCACAGTGGGGATACATGGGAAAGATGAGGGGCAATTCTAAACTAGGAACAAGTTAAAATTCTAGTGATCAGGGAAGCATTCTCTTGGTAGTCGGTCCCACAAAACAGCGGTTCGTTTCTTGGGAAAAAGCTGCTCTATAGGAAATTACACCTGACGATTGGAATACGGTATGGAATGAGGTTGGTTCTTTACAGTGGGTGGGGTGTGGCTTAATGGCGAAGTTTAAAACTTGTGAAACTAAGGAAATAAGCGATTATGGCCCTCCGCAACGAGCTATAAATTGTGGCTCTTAGCAAGGTGTTGTTTTTTTTTCACCACCACTCTCAGTCTCTGTTCACAAATGATTTTAAAATAGCCTGCTCGTTTTTTCTCCTCTGTTCCTTTGACTGTCAAAGTCTTTTCCCTTCATAATTCTTCCTAGGAATTTTAACTATGTCTTTTTGTACAAACGACATTTTTTTTTCTTAAAATTCCTTGTTATTCATACGGTCAGTCTATTTTATCCTTCTGTAGAACAAAATTTCTGTTATCTCAAATCTTTTCTTCCTCTGTGAAGATAGTGTCCAGATTTCAATGCAATATCCGATAATTAATGTTACATAACAGTTTAGCATTCTTTTGTTTTTAACAAAAAAAATTTCTTCTATCTTAATAATTTCCTGAGTTTTCGAATACATTGTTCGCTATTCCAAGGCCTCTTCGGATTTCTGGTTCACATTATCCTTCTTCTGGTAAAATACATACTAGGGCTTTGTATTTTCATACTCGTTGATTTTGGCATTTTCAATTCGTCGTTCAGTTGATCTTGTTTCTCTAGCTGAAAACCATACATTCTTTCTTCTTGCAATTGATGTTTAGTCCTTTCTTCTCGCTTTTCTACAGTTTGCTTCCTGTGTTTGCTATGAACATTATGTCATATATATATATATATATATATATATATATATATATATATATATATATATAAGCAACAAAAACAGACTATCATTATTGTTTTGTCCGTGTATTTTTTTATATATTGTAATGTACTTGTCATCTCTGATGATGGCTTATGTAAGCCGAAAGCTTAGATAGGATTGAAACATGTATCATTGTGGCGATTTTCTTTCGTCTTTCAATGATAATGTCATAAGGCTTATCAGACAATATGAAAGGAACTTACTTAAAATAAATAAACAAAACTTGTCTATATTATTTAATGAAACATGCATCAATGAATTTATATATATATATATATATATATATATATTGGTCTGACGATTATCTAGCATGAAACAGCCTCTCCCCTCTGAGAGTTGACTTCAGTGTTCACTTTTCTATTTACATAAGCTCTATCTCTGATATTGAGCACTTTATCCCAAAATATAGCACACGTTAAAACTATTTCTTCATTCTATATATATATATATATATATATATATATATATATATATATATCGTTAACAATACATTTCCAAATTTTTATCCATTTTTTTGTTCCTTTCTTTTTTTCTTTTCATTTAATTTTATTTAATAATATTTAATTATTATATATTCCATTTTACCTCCTCGTTTTTTTCTCAACATATGTTATTATAACCAGAGCCCGTCTTTCTAAAACTTCAAAACTTGGTCTGACAATTTTGGCTACAACTTGCGACCTCGGAGACATCTTTCCCCGCCCCCAACCTATAATTCTTTTCATCCACATTTACAATTTCACATCCCCACTCCCCCTACTAATAATAATAGAAATGTCTAACCCTTTTACTTTGATCAAAATTTTAAATTTAAGTTTATTTTCATAAAAAGTTTCGCACACCGATGAATCAGACAGATTGATTCCCACCATAAAAACACCGTCTACAAAAACATCTGTCGGTGAGCAATTCCGATTTGTCTGTTTATTCCTCGGTTCGTTGATGAAGGACACAGGCGTGTCCGAAAATTCCGATCTTCGTTTCTCTCATATGATTAATAATTAATATTCATTAGATGTTTATTGTACTGATTATATTGGTACCCTTTTTTGTTTTGTCCTCGTTTTATTAACTAACCTATATATTTTACATATTATAAAACGCACATGTGGAACTTTTTTGTGTAATTATGCACCCCACACATATATATATATATATATATATATATATATATATATATATATATATATATATTCAAGCATGTTTGCCTGAATAATCTAACATATTATGCCTATAAATTTTAATATTAATCCTTTTAAATTAACGGATCAATTTCTTAATGTTGCCATTAAACACATTAACGAAGGCGCCGTAGTTTTTCCCACCCCTTTTATTTTCCCAAGTAGTTTCAATCTCACCCAAGATCTATAATGTAATAGTTAGTTGGGACTTTTTTGTACATGCGCATGAAACGCGCTCTCTTGGTTCAAAAATTAACTTATTAACGGAGGTTACTTAATTTAAATTTGTAATTTTCATAAAGAATTACTATTTAAGTATATTAACAAAATACTGTTCTAATTGTAATTTTTTAAAAAAAATTACAATTTAGATATTTTAAAACTTTGCTGTTATAGACATTTAAAAAAATTGTTACTATATTCATAATTAATCTTATTTAGTGTTGTATTTTTCTTATACAGAGGGCTTCAAGTAATTTTCTTATATAGAGTGCTTCATGAAAGTACTTTTGAATATAAAATGAATCAGAAAAAACTACAGTGCCTTCCATAATGAGTTTATTGCCAAGATTAAAAAAATCATCCATGAATTTGAAAGGATTAAAATAAAAATAAATAGACATATGTCTAGAT